GTCTGTGAACTTGGTCAGTGAGCTCTTCACCCCCACATCCAAACTGTTAATAAAGATTTTGAAAAGTCCTGGACCATTTACCCCTGCTGCAGAGGGGAATGGGGATCAGGCAAGTGCGGGCAGCTGGACTCTGGGGAGTTGGGGACCACAGCGTGGGGCTGTCTCACAAAAAGAAGCCTGCAACAACAAATGGCCAACAACTCCTGCCCTATGTTATAACCAGGGATCCTGGTTTTCTCTGATTTAAAGGTTTTCTCCGATTTAAAAAATATCCCCAATTTTCGGATTAAAAAATAGTAACCCCAAATCCACATTTTTCTGTGATTAAAATGAAACACTGCTAATATATAGATATATGTGGCATGACCAATTTCTTGGCCGGCACGTGAATTAAGTCCCAGAAGGCAAGGATTCATAACTTTGAGTCTAGTGCACTCCAAAGGCCAGATTCTATTCCATATATTCTATATCACCCTGAAAAACCATAAATGCAGCCAATTTTATAATACTGTATCCTCTTACCCTTAAGATTCTTCATGGCTTTTTAGAGGCTTTGATGAAGAACTCACTCACTTTTTGCATTAATTATTTTTCAGGGACGTGAGTAGGATGAAACAAAATCATACTTAGGCACCTAAGTCCATTTACATGCTTAATAGGTGGAACAGAATCTAGCCCAAACTGTTTTTCATCCAGGGCAATTGGCTAAACCACAACTGCCTCTGAAGGTAAGCAAGGCCATGACTTAGAGATACTATCATGGGTGATGGGAGGAGGGTAGAGGTTAGGGAAATGCCTTTGTACTATATCTTTTATTTCTTCTGGAATAACTGATTAATGCCAGATATTTACTTTTACTCTCTTCTGAGATTTTTTCAATTACTTACCTTTTTCCCACAGCTAAATTAAAGGGGATCATGGACAGTGGATCTCCATGCCTTCACAGATATCAAATGAAACAGAGATTTCAATTGCTACTCATACCGAGTCATAAAAACAGTCGCCTATGTTTTCTTAAAATCCTTAAAATCTAGGTATGCATTTGGATTGCATTCTCTGAAGAATTAGTAAGCAGAAAATATTGTACCCACAATAGACCTGTTTTTTTCTGATGCCCACAGTTACTCTCTTACTATGTCTTCTTCATGAGGAGTTTATCTGTATAAAAGTATCAAGGATAGGATTTTATCTGTGATAAAAGAGAGAAAAGACATGATGCCATACCCCCTTTCACTACAGTTCTAATGCTCCATTTTGTTTCACTTTATTCAAATTGGATAAATCAACTCTCCTTTTCAGACTTCTATACCTAAAGAATCAGTCAGAAAAGTCTTTGATTTAACTTACTCTTTCCTGTGCTTGATAATTCAGAGGTACTATGATCAGCACTTGATGCTTTGTGGGGTCTGAATGTTTCAACTGGCCCTTAATTATGTCAGTTACAAAGACCTCCATTTTCTTCCTGCATGATATTTGCTTGCACATGATACCCTTTTCTCCATACATCAGTACTCTTGTGGTAAGCTCTCATGTTTTAGTACTTCTTGTCCCTCATGATGTGGAAGTATTCATATCAAGAGGTATGCTGGTGGTAATCTGGCTGCCTGTGGGCATGTCTACATGCAACGTTTACTGCAGAGATGCCTAATTAGCTCCACAGTAAAGTCTCCATGTCTACACAGCCCTTTTAGGCCATGGTAAACTAATTAGCTCTGATGTAGGTTAGTACTTGTAAATACAAGTACTATCCTGTGATGGTGTTCTTTACTGCACGGCAACGCACGTGTAGATGCTGATGGGGCTGGCTGGGGTACATGGGTGTTTCAGTGCAGGTGCTGCCTAATGGCTAGCCTTGCACTAAGGCACCCTTGTGCCCCAGCCAGCTCCTCCATAGCATATTGAGCCAGGTCAGAGCAGCCCTGGGCTGGCAGACTGGCCCCGCCGACCTGCTGCCAGCAGGGGCTGCTCTGACCCAGCGCAATGTGCTGCAGTCCTAGGTGCATGTGTAAATGCAGTGCCTGGGAGCAATACTCTGGTGCGATGTGCGCCAGAGTTTATTGCTTCACATTAATTTCACGTGTAGATGTGCCCTGTATGATCTTCCAAATTAGGCAGTTTGAAGAAACAAACCATTGGATTTCTAGGTTGAGCATAAAAGTTAACACCTATAACTTTGAAAAAGTAGAGGGGATGAGAAAGTCCTCTTCTTCTTCCAGCTGGCCTTCATAAAACTATGGTCTCCTGCTTATCAACCCCAAGTGAAAAGCAGTAGCGTTTGGTTATTCATACTTGCTCTCAAAAGAGGAACAAAGCCCAAGCATGCTAACACATTCTTATTGCCAAAGTTGGAGGTGGAGAAGCAGCCCTAATACAGATGGCAACTGCTTGGGACTTCTGAGACCATTGTAACTAATTTATACACATCTCTCTTCTGTCACTAAATCTGTGGTGATGAACTCTGTGGAGCAGGATCTGTTTTGTATTGCTGGTCTGTTTAGGGTGTAAAACCAAAGGCCCCCAGTGATACTGCCTATACTGCAGCAGCACCTAATGACTTCAAACAACAAGCCAAGGTCCCCCTCTGAGAAGATGGGGAAGGCAGACTATAGTTGGTTGTGTATGCCTTCAAAAGAGAACTTCCACAAGTGGGCTACTACTGCTATACTGTATTTGTTATGATCAGCATTTCAGTCATCAGAAGTTCAGACAGAAAATTTCTGTGACAGCAGGAGCATGGCATCGTTGTCTTCTCATGACAGTCATTTGAGCAGATGTGTTTTCTTTGTTTAATTCTTTGGCAGCGTACATTTTGCTTCAACCACCAGACAGCCTAAACTAGTCTCTGGTGCATTTATAGTGATTTATTTCCAAGGAATGTACAGACTCTCCCTCTCTCTCTGCAGAATCCTCAGAAAAACCTGATGCTGCAGCAGCCGCCAGGAGAACATTCCACTGTCTGCTGCCAAATGCAACATGTTGCCACAAGGAAAAAAAAATCTACTACTTTTTCCTAATATTTTAAAACAATGGCTAAGGTCATTCTTTTTTTTCAGTGAATTCATAAAGAAATATACTTCCATAAAGTTAAACATTCCCTCAGAGCTGCTCATTTAAAAGAGGAGAGGGAAGAAAAGCATATCAGAACAAAGCATACATACTTGAGGACAGAAGGGACCTTTAGTCATCTACTCTGATTTGTGTAACACCGAACTTTACCTGGTGATGCCTGCAATAGAGGAAATTATTCTTCCCCTACTATATAAGTGAATGCTGATGAGCCAAAATAAACTAAGATTAAGTAAGATAATTTCTTATGAAAAGGTCATGCTTTGTTCAAAGAAAAAGCCTTGGCTTCCCCCTTCCTTGAAACAGGATGCAAACAAAAGCAAACCCTCATTTAAAGAGACCGAAGGTGAAAAGGAAATTGGTGAAGGAAATAACATGTTTTTTTCTAGTTTTTAATCTATGATGTGGAAAACAATTTAAAACTGCATCACTGTCATGGGATCCTGGAATACTGCCTCTTTTTCTCTCTCTCCTCATGCTGGAATTAGGAGTCCATGCCTGCTTTGCATAAAGATGCAAGACCCCAAAGTACAATTTTTGTTGTTCTGCAATTCATTACACATTCTTCAGCCTTGCATCAGCATTCTTCACTGACCCTCTGTGCAGCACATCCCATATTTTGTTTTTCCATAGCATTAAATGAACACATACACAAAAATTACTTTGAATAAGAACATTATTCTTCAGGTACTTGCCATATGATAGCATAAGCGTTGAAAGCTGAGTTTTAGTGAAGCTTTGTAAATGCATTGTACATATCCTTAAGTAAAGAAAAGAAGAAACGAAAAGAAGAAAGTAGACTGATTTGGTTTAGTTGCATGTAAACGCCACAGAAAGCAACTGCAAGTATCCATAGCTGGCTCTGAGAATGAATTTCTGTAACTATTTTACAAAAAAAATATTGTTTAAAGACCTGTTGTTATCCAGAATGAGTAGAAAGTCAAAACCGTGTTAAACACTCAATGGGAACATACAACATGGCTTATGTCATTCGCTTTCTTTTTGAAACTATAAAAAAAGATAGCCAGTATTTTTATTTACACACACACACACATCCGTCCGTTCATTCTTATTAAAAAATAAAATAAAACTCACCTGAGACCAAAGGAAACACTGCAGAATTTTACACTTATACATACTGCTACATCAGTCAAACTAATTTAAGCATAATCCTTTGCAGGTCTGAGGTCAGCTAGAGTTTAAGATGTTTGGCACTTGGCAGAAAGTGCTTAGTACTTCTCAGAATCAGGTCTGTACTCAGCTTTAGTTGCTATTCTTAACAGCCAAATTAATCAGCCAATGAAGTCAATGGAATTGCACCTGACTACTTCAGATTGGAATCTGGCCTTTAATTCATAACACTGTTTTCATTTTCATAACTTCTTCCACAATAACTTGAATTATTTTGCTTTCAGCTGCACAGTATTAAGTTTTGTAATGGAATTCATAATAACTCTTGTCACAGTTCACTTTAATCACACTATGCAATACTGACCTGCATTACACAATTATCTCCCGCAGCTACTTGCTCCTATATTTTTCTAAGAATTTATTGAAAAGCGTAACCTGGTATCAGCTCAGTGCAACCTGAAGAGGAAAGCAATACGCCATAAAAGAAAAAGAGGATGTTCTTTATCGGATTACTTAGGAATTCCTGAGACCAGATCAGAGATAAACAGCTTATGTAAATATTTCCACAATGCACAGAAACAGCCCTAATATTGTTTATAATAAAAACAGAGAAAAAGATTATTCAACGATGCAAAAGCAATGAGTTAAAAAGATTAGTTACTAGAGCAGCCTTTGCACCTCTAGAAAGATATACCAGCTTGATATCTAATATGAAATCAAATATGAGAAGATCCTAGCACTTCCTCAGCTTGACTTCATGCTAAGCCACATTATGCTGCAGAGACCGTTGCTCTTAGTCTAACCTTGAGTCCCCTCTGATGCACTTGTAAAAAGAAGCCATGTTTCCAGTCCCAGGGCCAGTCCTTCTCACTCATCCTAGCAACAGTTGGCAGTAAGAAGAGGGAGTGATACAGAAGGTGCAGCAGCAGTCTGAGAAAAATGTAACTCCTCAGGGAAAGTGGACATCTTCCCGTCTATGCCTCAGTCCTTGCCACATTCTTTTTCCAGGTCTCTAGCTACATCTTTCCCAGTGCACACACGTGCTATTCAGGAAGTGGTGCCAGCCACTGCCAATGCAATTTCAACCAGCTGAAATCTCTGCAGGCAACAGAGTTCACTTACTTGAACAATAACTATCCCGTAAACACATTCCACGCTCTCTCATGCCACTAAACCTCACGGGCCAACTGCAAAGCTGAACAGGCTCCTGCTTAACAGCTTGCACTATGCCCCCTCTAAACAGAACTTTTAATGAGAATTACTACTGCTTTATTTAACTCTCCTCCTCCTTACAGATGAATATAAGCTTCCTTTTGCTAAGCCCAGGTTGGAGGTAGGAAAAGTTGCATTCCAAGGGCCTTTCTGCTTTCTCCATCCTGAATGGTCACCAACATTGAAACAGTTAGCTCAAGAAAAATAGCAAGAGGTTTTTAATGCCAAGCCACATTCACACACTACCGCCAAGATGGTTTCACCTGGACTCCTCAAAATTCAATGCAAGTTTGGGAATTTTTTCTAGCTGAAAATGAAGGAATTTATTTTGGGGGCATGCTGGAAAACTGTTTCCTGACTGCATCACATCACATCACATTACTATGTTTCTTCTTATTATTTCTCAGTTTAAAAGGAAAAAAAAAAGTGAGGTGTACACTAATCTAATAGCTTCCATTTTCTGTTAGACTGTTTCCTTTATATATATATATATATATATATA